TCCCATTTTTCCCTCTATTTTCCTTCTAATATGCTTTAAGGACGATTTTTTAATTAAGAACATAACATTATTCATATTAGTTGATAAAGCTCACAATTGTAAAACTAAGATATTAATTAAAATTGTAGCATAAAAATTTTTATTTCTATGTAATACCCAGGTCAAATTTCCACTTAAGATATTTGAAGTAAAAGTATATTCGTTTCATATATAATATAACAGTACTTTTTCTATGAAGAATTTTACTCATTATTATAAAAGCAGACTATATAAAAAGATTAAACATATTATTCTAAATATAATTTCACAAAGTTAGATTAAATTCTAAATGAAATATCTTGCAAATTTAATATTGAATTAATCAAACAGTTGGTACCTGCAGGGCCCAGAGTCACACAGGGAAATCAGACTTAGTTCTCTGATAAATATCAGAATACAATATAAAAAATTTATGATCACTAGCATAGTCTAATATAAATATTTTAATTATACATTCTAGTACATATTATAACTCATTCTTGGCATGTCAGTTTCTAATTTTTAAACTGATTTGGACTTATTATTTGTTACCAAATTATACTATTAGAAATAATGAGATTTTTATATTTATTTTAATTATTAGTTCTTAATACCTTTTGCCCAGCTTTTTTAGTACACTGTAATGTGAGAACAAGTATATTGACAAATATATAAGAGCAGGCATTATTTGGTATCAAATTTTAACTCTGATAATATGCATGACAATATTCTTTTGATCAATGTCCTTTTGCTTTATTTATTTTACAACAACTAGTAACTTCATATTCAAGATCATGCTGTATCAATCTTTTTTTTTTTTTTTTGCTTTTTGGATCATATGGCGGTGCTCAGGGGATCATACGGGGTGCTGGGAATTGAACGCAGGTCGACTGCATGCAAGGCAAACGCCCTACCCGCTGTGCTATCTCTCCAGCCCCCTCAATTAATCTTTATATGCAAGTTCATCTGCATGCCATCTTCCTTGGATTATTTGTCTAATAATTTGAGTTGAATGTTAAGGCCCAGAAAAATATGTCCAAAATCCAGTCATATTTTATATAATCTTAAGGTCTCATATGCTAGTTTTTTGTGAATCAAATCACATCATGTGGTAAAGCCTGAACTCCAAGTGTGACAGTTTTCTCCCTCTTATAGAATATTGAAGTTTGAAAAGAACTGTGGTCTATGTAGAAGTAAGGACATCGACTCAGAATCTACCAAAGATAGATTATAATAGTTTCAAGATGGAATTTTTTCACTTTTATTGTTAGTAAAATGATTATCTGTACAAATTGGTGAGTTAGAGCGATAGCACAGCAGGTAGGTCTTCATGTGGCCGACCCGGGTTCAATTCCTTCATCCCTCTCTGAGAGCCTGGCCAGGTACTGAGAGTATCCCACCCGCACAGCAGAGCCTGGAAAGTTCCCCTTTGGGTATTCGAGATGCCAAAAACAGTAACAAGTCTCACAATGGAGACGTTACTTGTGCCCGCTCAAACAAATCCATAAACAACAGGAGGACAATGCTACGGCGCTTATACAAATAGGTATTCCATGACTGTTACTTGTTTGTATAAATTTTTCAGTAATTTTTAGGTTTACTATAAGCAACTATTTACTATTAAAAGTATAATGTAGTTCACCACTAGGGCCAAAGAATGGTTCAGTGAAAATTAGGATCTGCGGTGTCAAGTACCACACTGTCAATTCTCACTTTACTTTGGGGTTTCCAATGTCACATGCCATAATGCTTGGGGAGCAGTTAGTTCCGTGTTTGAACTGGGATTGGTTGAATAGAGTTATGTACTTCTGTATGACATTCCCAGATCAACACCCCCATCTCTCTCTCTCTTTCTCTCTCTGTCTCTCTCTCTCTCTCTCTGTCTGTCTGTCTGTCTGTCTCTCTCTCTGTATACTTATTTATGTATTTATTTATATTTAGGGGATTGAAACTGAGTTGACTGCATGGCAGCCAAGAGCCTACTAGTTATGCTATCACTTAAAATATATTTTAAACATTAATTTTAACTTAATAAATATCTCTTCTGCTCTAATTTAATTTAAATTTTAAGAAAATTTCAAGTATGTGATCTATGACTTTTTATCATGCCTATATTAGTAGTATAGCTAATTAAAAATATTACCATAATTTTTGGAAAAATATATTTGTGGAGTTTAGGTATATGAAATATTTTTTATATTGGGTTATGTATAACACTGTAGCACTGTTGTCCCATTGTTCATCAATTTGCTAGAGTGGGTACCAGTAACATCTCCATTGTGAGACTTGTTGGTACTGCCTTTGGCATATTAAATATGCCACGGGGAGCTTGCCAGGCTCTGCTGTGCGGGTGGGATACTCTCAGTAGCTGGCTGGGCTCTCCGAGAGGGACAGAAAAATTGAACCTGGGTCTGCTGCGTGCAAGGCAGTGCCTTACCCACTGTGCTATGGTACCTGCCCTGCATTATGTATATATTCTTCTATTTTAATTATAATGAGAAGAAATGATATTACTATTATACAATTATCATCAATTCCATTTTTATTACTAATAATGGTTTGAGAGTGTCTAATAAAAAAAGATCAACCTTTCAAATGGGTAGATTTTAAAATATGAAAGTGTAGGAAGAAAAGATCAATAATTTTGGGATATGTAACATACCATTATAGATTTCTCATGTATTTTATTTCTCATGTGAAAGCACTTATTATTGATACATATTCATCAATACTTATTACTTAGACATAAACAAAATAAATGCTTATTAACCTAAGTTTATTGTTTTATTTTCATCATTTTATATCCTATACATGCATTTATACCATATACATGTAATTGTGATATTTGTCTATCATAACAATAAATATCTTTTTATCATTTAGATATTTCTATTTGCTTGCTCTTCAGTTTTATAAAGGTTTACATTTGGTGATAAAAAGTGTCTCAAGGAGTTATCAGTTGATCTGGAAACCCTGCAGGTGATTCTTATCTTCTTGAGGGCTATTCCATAAAAGGATTAGAGCTATTTATATAGTAAAAATAGATAAATCATCAGAAAAATTTAGAAGTGGATTCTTTCGTCTTTGTTCATGAGACATTTTGGTCTATATTTTACTACTGTTTTTAGCAGCATCTCTCCAAATTCTTGATTGTTTTTTTAGCTGCTTCCAGCTTGATATATACATCTGGGTTCTAAAGTCTTGATATTTCAAGATACCAGCACAACAAAGTAAACATTACTGTGACAACAAAACGTAGCTACATTTAAAAACCTGTCAAATGAAACTCCTACTCTTCTATTTTCTTTAGAGCTCTACTTGAGAGCTAGCCACCCCTTGGAAACTTCTAAAGGAAAAGTGGTACTCAAAAAAAAAAAAAAAGAAAAAGAAATTCAAAAAATCTATAAAATTTAACATACAAAATGAACAGACATTTCTCTGAGAAAGATTGACGGATGCCCAACAGGCATATGAAAAATGTTCATCATCACATATTACTAGCAAAATATAATCAAAACAACAATAAGATAGACACAGAATGACTCCACCCATTTGTGAAATACGAAGTAACATAATAGGAGAATAACACCTAAGGATAGTAGAGATATGTGCCAGGAGGATGGCCCAAAAACTTGGATGCTGATCTCATGTGTTGAGGGAAAAGGCAGGTGGAATGGAGAAGAGACCACCAAGTAAATGATGGTTGATGGGATCACTCAGGCTGTTAGATGCATGCTGAATGTAGACTATGGGCCAAACATGATGGCAGCTTAGTGCCTATATTGCAAACCATAACACCCAAAAGGAGAGAGAGAGAGTAAGAGGGAATGTGTCTGCCACAGAGGCAGGGCATGGAAAGGAGTGGGGGTGGTGGGAGGGACACTGGGAACATTGGTGGTGGACAGAGGGCACTGGTGGAGGGATGGCTATTCAAACATTGTTCAATTAAAATGTAATCACGAAAATTTGTAAGTCTGTAACTGTATCTCAGGATGACTCATTAAAATAAAAAAAAAGATACCATCTCAGAAGCAGAATGGAAGTAACAGGGGGCAGAATTAAAGCGTCTTTTTTACATCAGTGGTGTAGAGAAGTGGTATAGCTATATATCTGAATCACAAAAACAATAATACTGGGAACAAGAGATTCAAACTAGTACAACCAAATTAAAAATATTCCTGCCAAGGAGACAGATGGGGACATGGGAAAGGTACCTGGGGACAGACACTGGTGAAGGGAAGTTGAGACTGGCAGTGGAATTGGTGCTGGAACATTGAATGCCTAAAAATCAATACTTAATAACTTTGTAAATCATTGCGCTTCAATAAACTTTTTTTAAAAAAAAAAAGAAAATTAACTTCACCACACAATACTAAATGAGAAAGAACATGAAAAACAACAAAGGTTTGAGAACTAGTTATGTAACTTTATATCCAATTATAGATTGATATATCTCTATGTAAAAATACACAATATAATTTAAGACAAATCTTATTTCTATTTTAGCTTCCATATGCTTTTTTCTTTCGAAAGTTCTGTGCTTCACAGGTATCTATATTTGAAATAATTGGCATTCATTTAACATTTGACAAAAAAGATTAATGAATATTATTTCAAGAAGAAAATGTTTTCTAGTATTTAAAAGAAGGTACATACTCCAAAAATTAAATAATCTATTATCATATATAATTGTTCAGTGTGGTCTCTAGAGCCATACTAAATGATATTCTCTTGGGTTTGCATCACTAAGTTCCTGGCGCTATAAATGTGTAACACCAATTAGGGTTATTCTGTCAGCTACTTTGTCTCCATTGTCTCTGCCATTGCAGCATATTTTTAAATCCTTATACGGAAGATCTTATTTCTTCTACTTATACTGGAATACACTTAGTACTCATTATATTTTTAGAATTATTATACTTATAGAAATAGATCTCAGCAAGAATTTTTCTTCTGTTCTTTCATTTTAACAAAGCTTCCATATGGCTGAGTCAAATTTTTCTACGTTCAGGTGAGCCAATTCATTTCTTGCTGTGGTTCATTTTTTCAAAGGCCATCAAGTTCGAATAATCCTTGCAAAGAAAAATATAAACTGGTATCTAACTACCTTTCTACCTACCTAGTTTTCTTCTGTTTTTCCTTTTCTTTCATCTCATTTAGTATTATTATACACTGATATTTTTCAGTGGAAAGTAATCTTAGCTTTCTAAATCTCAATATGCTTATTCTTGTTTTTATACACAAAAGTAATTCTAATTAAAAAGGAGATATACATTCATATTTATATTCATATATCTTCTGTTGTATATTATTTGTAATGTTTTGAATGTTCCTCAGAGTAGTTCCAATAGGAATAAAAGTAAACTGGGCTCATAGTTTCAAGCTTATCATTTCTAAAATGTCAATAATATTGCTGAGAGCATGGTAGAAATAGAATAAGGAGACTGTGATGGCAGTCACTGAGAGTAGGAGATACTGAAAGGGAGCAATAAAAGGATTAGGATTTTTTTAGAAGTTTATTTATTTAGTTGATTTAACTTTGTTATTCATAAGTCCCAAACTTCCCTCAAGGGTCTGAAAGCCCACCACAGATTGCAAACAGGAACAATGGGCGGGGGTCCTAAGGGATGTGCCTAAAGATGACTGCATACTTTTTGTGATCTTGCTATAACCACGTTTTCTTTCTTCTGTATCAACACTTGCATGAATTTACAAGGTGCCGGTACGTGGCCCAATGAGCTAAACTAATTTTTCAGTTTCATAGGAGAGTGACTGGAGCACCAGGATGTGGTTTTCCTAACAACAAGCCAGTGTTTCTGCTATGAGGCTGTTGTTGCTACTAGCAGGACACCCTGCAAGCTGTTGGCAATAATGACTCCTCTAAATTCTAATTGTATTGTCTCTGGTGGTTCTTTGATAGTGACCCCATACTATTTGGAGGCTCAAGTGAATTTCAGGTAGTGTAGGAACATCAACATGCCAGGTTCCATTTGCAATCCAGGATTGGCTTTCAGGACGTTTAAGGAAGTTCACTGTACTTATGGAATGGCACATTTAAATCAGCTAAAAAAAATAAACTTCCAAAACCACTAAACTTCTTGTTGCTTCCTTTCCTTTACATACAGCTCATATAAACAGAGTGCTGAAACTATGCTTGTGGGGAAGAGATGGGTCAGAATCAACAGAATTATGTTTATCCGGCAAGGGTACACTTTCAGTCTCAATCCTGAACTCTATGATGATTGAACCCTAGAGAACAAATTAGCAAAACCTGGAAAATACATAAGATAAAATATGTTATTGATAGAATTTACACACAATATTGTTTTTATAAAAAATTTAAAGTACTTTTGGAAAATAAATTTTCATATGGCATAACTATTGTAGAATCAAATGAGAATTAACAAAATAATAATTGATGAATGAAATGGTCAGAGATATTTGAATGATGCAGTTTTATATACATATATATGGAAAGGTGTATGAAGCTCAAAATGTTCGTATAGTAACGGATTTGAAACTACACAGGGTTTAATTTCAATTAGTAATCAGGACTATAATTTTTATAGCACTCTATGGTAGAATAACTTTCCTTTTGCCTAGTGCAATATTAAATCTCAGGAAGTATTTGAAATTCAGATTTCAGGAAAAAAATATTGTAATGATGGAAAAAAATACCAGAAAAAATACAGTGTTGAGGCATCTTGCAAATGTTGCAGAATTTGACCTGATTAATCTCAAATATCTAAATGGCAAACACTTTAAGGAGCAGAAGATTTATTTTCAAACTGGCAGGCTTAGAAGACTTACTCTCCAAAGTCTGAGCCTCCAGCACAAGCAAAGCAGGAGGTTTTTTTCTTTGATGAGATCACAAAGTATAGAGTAGCATCAAAGGGAGGGTAATTAGCAGACAAGCAACAAACAGGATGTAGAAAATATAATCAGCAAACAATCAGGGAATCAACAGAGGGGATCTGTAATGGAGGGTTGCAGTTGCCCTAATGGAAATTTCTCAGAGTGGTCTAATATACCTCTTCTATATCCAGGTTTTGAGAAGTTGAATAAATCACTTCTGCATCTTGCAACCTATTTTCCTGCAACACATGAACTAGGGCATTGATAAAATTATCCAACATATTCTTTAACCCAATATATACTTATTTTATGTAATTCAGGGCTGGAGCGATAGCACAGCGGTAGAGCATTTGCCTTGCATGCGGCCGGCTTGGCCAAGCCAGGTTCGATTCCTCCGCCCCTCTCAGTGAGCCTGGCAAACTCCTGAGATTATCTCGCCTGCACAGCAAACCCAGGCTAGCTACTCGTGACAAGTCTCAAAATGGAGAATTTACTGGGCCAGATCAAGCAAATTGATGAACAATGGGAGAACAATGCTACAGTTTATGTAATTCAGCCAGCATTTGTCCCATAAGGTTTTAGGACTACTTGTTATGAAGCATGATTCAAGATTATTGTAATACATTGCAATTTACAGCAAAATTAAGAGTTAGCTCTTAGGCTTATTTCCTTGGTTTTGTTCTATGTTTTAGTATAAGACTTTCCTCTAATTCATGCATCCACTAATTGATGATTTGTGGGACATGAACTCATTCCAATGTTCTGGGGAGATTTCTGCAATGTCAGAATTCTTAGACACAATTAACCAGGTAATACTTAGCTAAATCTTGATACTCTCTACTTGGAGCTATAATCAGAGTCCATAGGTTTGCATCTCAGCTCTCTAGGACTCTGCATCTACTGTCACTACTTCACCAGCCAGGTGGAAATTCATACTGTTACTCAAACTTTGCAAAAACTCATTACATTTAAGGGAGGTTCTTAAGACCTAATTTTGGTGCTAATTAAATTCTTAAAGTATATAAGAGAACTCAGGCTTTACTTTAATGTACTCTTGCTTATTGTTAAAAAATATACCGCCAAAGAATTCACAGATGGTAAACATAGAAGAGAGAAAATTTTAAGAGTTTCTACACCTTAAACATATGACAACTTTTCCCATGTATCTCTTCTTATGTACCAACAGAGAAGTCTCCAAATCACATCACTTGGGATTTTATGGAGGCTTTATTCCAAGCATACAGACTAAAATTGTTGACTCTGAGAGGTCAATACAACCTCCAGCTTTTCTCTCACTCTCAGTAGTTCCTGGTGTGACAGAAAGTTCCAGCAATCATGTGATAAGATCCATTCCCTGGAAAGAGTTGCCATTCACATAAGGTTTTCAAAATCATATCACATTCATGTGAAAATATCATCTTATTTTCCTGATTCTTTAGGAAATTTTAAAGATTTGAGAGTAAGTGCCCAAAGAAGGAGATATCAAAATATATTTGCCATGTCATCAATATATAATGCTCACATATTCATTTATTCACAAAATGTTATTTAGTATTTACTCTCTCTTTGTTCTATCTTAGCATGTATTCTAAGTGTTGTATTCTATCATATTTTGGTCTCAAGAATTATATATTAATAAGGAAATTACAAATATTACATAATAATTTAATATATGTGTATATATAGAGAGAGAGGTGGGCTGGAACTATAGCACAGCGGTAGGGTGTTTGCCTTGCACACAGCCAGTCCGGTCGAGCTGGGTTCAATTCCTCCACACCTCTCAGAGAGCCTGGCAAGCTACCAAGAGTACCTCACCCCATGGCAAAGCCTGGCAAGCTACCCGTGATGTATTCAATATGCCAAACACAGTAACAACAAGTCTCAAAATGGAGACGTCACTGGGCCAGCTCAATGAAATCGATAAACAATGGGAGGACAGTGATACAGTGACAGTGATATATATATATATATATATATATATATATATATATATAGTTACTAATGAGTGAAATTCGCATTTTTGATGGCTTGATAGTGACATAAGTAAGAGTATTTTTCTGACACTGAGGAACAAGTCAAAGGTAAATAAGATTATCAGAGAGGTAAGAAACCCAGAGAATGTCTAGAAGAACCCACAAAATGTTTAGAGGAATGTCTATACATTCACTGAAACTTTAGAGGCTTGCCAGGCAGGAGACCTAATCGCTGTACTCCTGTAACAAGACATTAGTTATTTTTGTGAAATAACATTTTTGTGAATATTGAGTATGGTCATGTAAAATATGCAATGACCAGTTGTATTTTTTTTTTGTTTCTCACTAGGCTGTTTAGTTTAAGCTAATTCAATATACACAGTTTATATTTATGATAAATTAAAAAATTAAGAAATTCTAGCTTTATGGAAAATATTTGAAACCAAGTATTTTCCAATCACTATTCATGGATTATGAACCAATTGCTGTTTCAATACTTAACATCTTTATTCTAAATTTAGTTTCTTAGTTCTCTTAAACTTTTCTATTTTATTCACAGGTACCTGGAAAACCAGAGTGCTGAAGCCACATTCATTCTCTTGGGCTTTTCAGAATACCCAAAACTCCAGGTGCCTCTGTTCCTACTATTCTTAACCATCTATACAGTCAGCGTGGTAGGAAATCTAGGCATGATCTTGGTTATCAAGATCAATCCCAAACTCCACACACCCATGTACTATTTCCTCAGTCATTTATCCTTTATTGATTTTTGTAATTCTACAGTTGTTACACCCAAACTTTTAGAAAACTTAGTTGTGGAAGACAGATCCATCACATTCCCAGAATGCATTGCTCAATTCATCTTTTTGTGTATATTTGTGGTGACAGAAGTGTACTTGTTGGCTGTGATGGCTTATGACCGCTTTGTGGCTGTTTGTAATCCTTTGCTGTATACAACTGCAATGTCCCAGAAGCTTTGTGCCATGTTGGTGGGTGCATCATACTTTTGTGGTACTTTTTGTTCCCTCACCCTGGGCAGCTTCCTAATGAGATTATCTTTCAGAGGCAGAAATATCATCAACAACTTTCTTTGTGAATATGATGCCATCGTCTCTGTCTCCTATTCTGATCTCCAGGTTACCCAAAAGATCACATTTGCCTTTGCTACTATCAATGAAGTAAGCAGCCTGATGATCATTCTTACATCCTATGCTTTCATTTTTATCACAGTAATTAAGATGCCATCTAGTGGTGGGTGGAAAAAAGCCCTCTCCACTTGTGCCTCCCATCTCACTGCCATTACCATCTTCCATGGGACCATTCTTTTCCTCTATTGTGTTCCAATCTCCAAAAATTCATGGCTCATGGTCAAGGTGACTTCTGTGTTTTACACGGTGGTCATTCCCATGCTCAATCCATTGATCTACAGTCTTAGGAACAAAGATGTGAAAGACACTGTCAGGAAATTATTCCATACTAAGTTACATGGTGATAAAATATAGATATTAGTTCTATTTGAAGGTATTGTTTAGTGCTAGCCCATAGATTACATAGAGAATATTGGTACATGAACATTATATTCTTGTACTTTGTGCAAATATTTTTCATCCTAATCATAATTGGAATTACCTGAAATTTTAAAATATTGTTTATGATGAAATTTATATGACTGAAGCATTTTAATTCATAATCTGGAATACTAAGAACTTTCTATTAGCTCTGACCCTGTGATTTCTAGTCAAATTTCAATTGAATTAAAATCATTTGAAATTCAAATTTTTTGAGATGGTATAAACTGATAAAATGTTATTTCTAAAGAAAAATGTAGTACATGAAAACTCCATTACCTAAATTCATAAACTATAACTTTATATTTATGTACTATATATGTACTATATAAGAAATTATTTGAAAATATATATCAGTCACTTATGTTCTTCTATTCATGATCTTGTGATTGCATGTTACATATTTTAAAAATGTTGGGTTAAAAAACTATAAATGAACAATGACATAAAAGACACATTTAACTAAAGCACACCTTATTTATTAATGAAGAAAGAAATCGTGAAATTTAGTGGAAAGCAGAAATATGTCTTTTTAAATCTATGGCATGAATGCAGCTATTAGCAGAAGCATTTTGAGTTCCAGAGTGATCTAACCAGAATAGTTAAATTCCTTTATACTTGAGTTGCCATGGATAATTTGGCTATGTTGAGTGAGAGTCATACACAGTCTGTCTAATGACAAAAGTTTATTTCCATTCTCTTTTGCAGTCTCTCACGTTAACATTTTGTGATTTAATAAACATAGCACATTGTTCAGATTAAAGTTAATGAGCAAGAAAGTTCTGCCTTTCAGCAACTTAAGGCAGTAGGGTTTCAAATCAACCAACAGTGGTACAATGTAAAAATAAAAATTTTACATAGAATCTACAAAATATTGATTGCAACTCATGATTTGTGGAGCACATTCTTCTTTGATAAGTCCAGATGAGCCTATGACAAATAACAACAAACATCACTGTGATGAGTTTTACTTAGTTTCCCAGTAACTGATAACTCATGGGGTTGCATTATACAAATGAGTATTTGAGATAACATATTTTTATATTTTGTCTTTTATATCCTTTGTCAAAGAAATCACGATTAGGTTTTATAAGTGATGTATTAGGAGTATATCTATATATTTATGATTCAATATAAATCTATTAATTTATGCCTATTTCATACAAAACAAAATGTTCTTTATCATATACTATCACAAATTACACATGCTAAGGAACTTTTATTATGTGATTATATTTAATTTCACAGTAAATAGCTTCCACTCATAGTTACAGGATCATGTATCTTTACTTTTTTAATCTAATCTGAACTGGGTATATTTAAGTAACTACTGATTTATCACTATTATTGTGATATTTATGTTTAATTATATAAACTATAAATGCATGTACGCTGGCATCAGATACATCCATTGAGGACCTGATGGTGCAAGCAAGAAAGCTCAAGTACGACATCATTGGTCTGACCGAGACTAGAAGGGATCAATCACATCAGGCCATTTTTGACACTGGGCAAAACTCTTCCTCGGAACATGTGACAAAAGAGGCATTGGTGGTGTTGGTGTTCTTGTCAACACAAACTTGGCCATAAACATTGATTCATTTGAATGCCTAACAACTTGAATCAGATGATTACACTTGAATAGATGTGGCTCACTACCGGCAGTTTCTCTCTTTGTTGTCTACACACCAACATCCAATTACAATGAAGGAGAACTTGAGAAGTTCTACATGGAGCTGGAGAAGTTCTATACAGAAGACCACACCTTCTACAAGATCATTGTCAGTGATTTTCATGCCAAGATAAGATCGAGAAGATCAGCCGAAGAACTCCACATCGGGACCCATAGCCTAGAAAAGAACAAACAGGATGAGAGAGACTGTCTGAGTTCATCATGTCAACCAAGACTATCCATGGTAACTTACAATTCCAGAAGTCCGAATCTAAACGTTGGACATGGGAGTCTCTCAAGGGACGGTTCCACAACGAAATGGACCACATCATATTCAATGGATGATTTTGCCTGACCGATGTTGCTGTTGTCCCAAAATTCCAAATGGAATCAGACCACCATCTCCTTCATGCAAAATTCTACTTCACAGAGCAGGGAGAAAGGGCTGTAAATTTAATAAGAGAACTCCCAGAACGACCACCAACTGGGAGCTCTTTGGCACTATTGCGGCAATATCGGAAGATGCCATCATTGACAACATTGACGAGGAATACGATTCACTGCTTCAGCACCTCCATGATTATGCGAAGAACGCCGAGAGAGAGAGAGAGAGAGAGAAAGATGATTGTCTTCAAAAACTCTTGAGCTCATTTGCCAATGTGGCTTGGCGCAAGCCTCGGGCAACCACAAGTGAAAATCTGAGCTCGTAAAGCAGTGCAGAGAAGCAATCAAGGAAGACCTCAAAGAGAGAACAGCAGCAGTGCTGCTAGATGGGGCAGAAGCTGAGAAAAGCATTCGCTCTCCTGTCCTTCGCCAACTACAAGACGAAGATAACTGCCCACCAACATCCTGATGGATCTATCACATCTTTCAGAAGGGCAATGGAGAAGATTATCCATGACTTCTACTCAGATAACTACAATAGCCATGTCCGCCTCTTCACATACCAAATTTCGCAGGATGGATATGTTCGTTCCCAAATGTCTCCCTTCCAAAATTTGACACGTCATTTCATTGATAAAGAAGTAAACAGTACCCGGCCCAGAGAAGGTGAGACCTGAACATCTGAAGAACCTGCCATCAGTACTCACAATACACTGGCTCAGCTCTTCACATCCTACCTGTCTGAATGCAAGGTTCCATCCCAATGGAAAAACAGCAGGACTGTACTACTGTACAAGAAGGGAGACACTTACAACATTGGCAACTATCACCCAATCTGCCTGTTGTCTGTCGTCTAAAAGCTGTTCACTTGAGTCGTCCGTAATAGGAGTGGCAAAACACTAGATGAAGGACAAACATGCAAGCAAGCTAGTTTCCAAAAAGGATTTAGCACAATCAACCATATCCACACGATAACTAAGCTCATTGAGGTTTCTCTGAAGTTCAAGACGTCACTCTGTCTAAGTTCATTGATTTAAATAAGGCCTTTGATTCTGTTCAGACTGAAGTGGTCACTGAAGCCTTAGCCAAAAAGGGCGTTAAATGTCAATACATCAGGATCCTCCTTGAGTTGTGTTGCAGATTCACTATTAGTATCTCACCATTCTACATGGAGGTGATCATTGACTTCAAGAGAGGGGTTCAGCAGGGTGATACCATTTCACCAAAAACACTTCAGTGCCACCCTCGAGAACATCATGCGACGACTGGAATGGGAAGGAATTGGAGTGAAGATAGATGGTTGGCAATTACACCACTTCTACTTTGCTGATGACATCATTCTAATAACACCAAACATCAGCCAAGCGGCACAAATGCTGGTCGACTTCGACTGTGAGTGTGGAAAGGTCGGACTACAGCTGAATCTCACAAAGGCAATATTTATGAGAAACGGTCTCCTTCCTGACATTCCATTCACTCGCAATGGGATGAACATTTTCGAATGCAACAGTTATATGTACCTAGATAGATAAGTGAACATGATGAATGGCCCGGCACCTGAGGAAGAGAGCAGCTTGCACAGGAGGAAGAGAGCAGCTTGGAACACCTTCAAGAACATCAAAGAAATAGCTTAGAAGACGAAGAACCTCCGGCTCTGGGTACATCTCTTCCATTCCACTGTTCCATATGCCTCAGAGACCTGGGCCCTACAGAAACAGGATGAGAACGCTATTTAGGTCTCCAAAAGAGGAATCGAAAGAGCTATTCTTGGAGTATCATGCTTGACTCAAATGACAGAAAGAACATGGAGTTCCTATCTTTGTCGACGGTAGAGAATCAGGGATACTGTTTCGTTTGCCAAGGCATTGAAAATCAGATGGGTTGGACACATAATGATATTTGGAGAAGACCGCTGAACTAGAGCCATTACCAACTGGATTCCACAGGATGTCAAAAGATTGTGTGGCCACCCAACAAAGATGGTCACTTCTTTGTCAAGAGTCTGAATGAGTTTGAGTCTCTTCTTGTTCCTAGAACGAGCAGACAACATTGGACTACATTAGCATGTGACAGGGATGAATGGAAGCGTTACTGTTGCACACTCAAGCAAATTGATGAGTAACGGGAGTCAAGTGATCAAGTGATCTAGTGATATAAACTATTTAGATTTTTAAGATGTAGTTAGATGTTTCCTGATACTGAGTGCTATTCAATTTGTCATTTCAATCCAATTTGATATTTCACCCTCATCATTGATCATTCTTTAGAATACGGTTATCTTTTCTATTCTACTTTTGCTGCAATTTTTATTAAGATGGTGTGCTTCACAAAGTTGTTCATAATAGAGATGTTTATGTGTACAATGTTCTAACACAGCCTCATTTCCAATGTCTCTTTCCTTCATATTTATTTTACATAATTTGCTCCAAAAAGCTTAAATGGATAGAAAATGTAATTTTCAGAAATTAAATTAATAAATTTGATTTGTGATGACTGCTTTATAACTTAACCTATGTAAATGAAAATTCAATTTTTTTCATACAATATACTATACTGCCTACCTCACATAAATAAAAGTTCAACTGTGGAATCTAAAATGTTAAATGTATTAAATTTTATTCTTTTCTTGGATCTTACTGCCGCAATTGTCTTCCCTATCAAAAATAAAACATTTAAAAAAGTATGTGCTACTTTAGAATTTCTATAAAATAGGTAAAACCTACACATACAAAATATATCAGATGAAGATAATTAAGGAAATTTAAATGGTAAATACAAATAGTCCTATGAAAGTACAGAATACTTTATCCTAAGAAAGGAAATATTGTATGATATATACCGCTTAAGAGTCTACATTAATAAGTTAAGAGACTGCAAT